AGCGTAGAAAGGCATCGAATATGCCAGAAAAAATCCAACTACATAGTTATTAATAGGTACAACTGATCAGATAAGTGTTTTTGGGCTGCTAGATATTGGCAATAGAGAAGAAGACGAAAAAAGACACAATACTCGGGCAGAATATATATATTCAGCATAGAGAAGGCGTCTGGGCTACCGGGATGGCCCAAAGGCTAGCCCACCCAGCGAGGCACAAGAAGACAATTCCAAAAGTCCAAAAGTGGCGCCTCACCAATACCGAGGGATAAACCACCATCGCATTACATAGCCTCCATCCTCTCTTGAGCGTCGTCCCTGGCGCTCCCTCGGGTCAACCTCCCGTGTCAGCCATTACAACGTAGCTGGTGCTGCAAAGAAACACCCCCAAAATTAGCGTTCAACTGAGGCGATACTTGACCTCAATGTTACTTATACCTCTTGGCGACTTAACTGGATCTGGAGTTTCGTCTGGTTTAGGAACTTGATTCAGCACGGGGAATTGCGCTGGCCATCATGCGTGTCCATAGATAGAAGTAGGAACACTGGCCTAAAAGTGGATTTGTGTAAGGAAGGACGGGATTTAATACAGGTCCATGGATGAGGTAGGGAAAGTCTGTAACGAAACTTCCAGATGGTTCATGGCTAGTGTCGCTTCACTTGTTAATAGCTTTTCTGCAGACCACGGGACTGGGAGAGATGCCGAAGGTAGGCGTCAACTTCAACCCTTCTGTTAGGGGTTATCACTATTCTCCCATCCGTAGCATACGTACTTCTTCCGCACCACTAAGGTTTATCACACAGAAGTGGGAAATCAGGATACATGTCTTTTAAGATCGGGTTCGCTTTCCGCTGCCACCAATGTAGCGTCCCGAGACTTCCCTGAAGACGAAAGACTCAATACTCAGGCAGAATATACATTCAGCACAGAGAAGGTGTTTGGGCTACTGGTATGGCCCGAGGGCCGGCTCGCCCAACGAGGTACAAGAAGGCAAATTCAAAAGTTCAAAAGTGGTGCCTTAAGAATACTGAGGTATAATCCGCCATCGTCTTACACTATCATGACGACGCGTTACACACTTATTCAGTTTTGTGTTTATGCCGAAGTGGAACACGAAGTTTAGATTCGTATGCCTTCCCTCTCTTAACGAATCGCAAGTGGGAAATATACAAGTTATTTGTCCAACTCGAAGCGTGTTCTTATGCAAAAAATAAGCACTAATAATATCGAATGCCACTAAAGTGCCGGCAATATGTGTGCGGCTGTAGCTTAGTGATTAAGCGTTAACAGCATTAAAGGAGGCAGTATTAGTGGTGTGTTGGCGCCACCTTTCAAGCCCATGTCTTTTTATAATTTTTGTCCTTATCATTTCAAAGTGAGTACAGAGGCATCAGAGAGGCATGCTTTTGTAAACAGAACTGGGCGTGGCCAAGAAGAGCAGCTGACAACGAACAGCTTTTTCTTCCATGCTTTCAGAGTAGTGATAAAAGCACAGAGGCCGGTGTCTCCCAAGGGACCATGAATGGATGCTAAAGTGGAGCTCTTATCTTATGAAGACTTGGTGAGATGGAATGAAGGCTTCTTTTTCGCTTTTCCCCACTAGCAGAAGGAGGTTTTACTGATTCTGGCAGAGTCTGAGGACATCGTATTCCTCTTTGTAGTGTTGGTTTCGAACAAGTGTTATAATGGAAACCGGTAGAAATGCGGAGCACGCTTGTTGCAGGAAATTGTTACACCTTTAGTACAATCACCCAAATGGCTTCAATTGCAATCGAGTTCGCTTTACAAAGAATGCGGCACTCGGAATTCTCTGCCAGGTGGACTTCATGTATTACTGCCAATAGTTGTAGTTCATACAAAGTCTTGTTACGCACAAAGCAGAAGAGTAGACAGGGCGGGTGCCTGGAGTGTAGTGGCTTGCTACTTTGGTCAATTGTAGATTTAACTGCGCAGCTTTTCAGCCCCCGCAGACTATACTTGTACTCGACAATATGGCCCCCCCAGCATCGGCTGTGATCTAGTAGCCCTTTTATCCCTTAAAAATAAACCGTTCCTACTGACTTGGCTTATTTCGACTGATGAAGAGACTCAAGTCACTGCACAGTGAAGAAAAATAAGCCATTTTGCTCTTAGCTTGAGGAAGAAGAATCAATTTACTTAGAATCTAAAAGCATTCATTGTTTTGTTTGCATGAATTACGCTAGTTAACCCACCAATTAAATGAAATCATTTTTGTAGGTTAACGTTTTAGGCATTTAATAGTTTTGTGTTAGGATTAAATCATTGTCTCCTGATTTGCTTAATTTTCTTTATTGAAAAGCTTTAACTATGCCTAATTTTGGTTTGCATCGATAGATACGCTAGCCCCTGTTAAAGTTATGTGAGCAAGTTACTCATTATTTCTCAAAAAGCTGGTTAGTACCATAATTGCTGCTTATAAAAGCACACCATTATGCACAGGAATAAACCTTCACTTTAATTTAAATATAATAAATAGGCTTTTCCTCCTCGTTGCTTTTTGCTGCAATTATGCCTTTCGCTACATGGATGTGAAGCCATTCGCGTCTATGGCTCAATGTTACCCATCCGTCCGGTCTTTCACGATGAAGTTATGCATATGCTCCAAAGTCTTATATTTAGAAACATTGATATGAGAGCTACGCTTCTTTTAAACTGACAAGTGATTTAGACATTCATGTTTACAGCGAATTTGTAGTTGAGACTCATATAAACAAGTTTTCTTTTGAGGCAGATAATACAGTTGACTTTAGTATTTTACTAGCTGAGGTGGCTGTGGCTACTCACTTCCCCCTCCGCTTTTATTTCCGCGGCTAGTCAATGAATATGACTATAATTAATAAAAATCATTTCATACACTTCACCCTTTCTTCCACCATGTTCCCTTTTTAATTCCTAGGGCATCCACTTGTTTAGTCCAGCCGATTCGATTGCTGACCCCAGTAGGAAGAAGTTAGTATCGTTTAAGCCACCTTCAACTTTGCCACTAATTTTTGATTTTATTTAACAATTACTTTAATGCGCGCGCTTGATTTTTTACTTGAAATAGATCAACTAAATTATTATAACTTTTAACTGCATGATTAGGAACTAAAAAACTCCGACTTGGGCGACAAAAGAGCAAACTGTGGATCTAAGATCTCGTTACTTAAGTTGAAAATGAGTCGTCCTAACTGACACAAGCCCTTGCGACAAGCAAGCATCGCAGAATGTCTAACTCGGGGTAAATCTAGAATTTGGGCATCACATGGTTCGAAACGTGGCCTAGGCGTGGTCAACCCCAAATACCATAGCTTGACTTAAATTGGCTGGGATTATTTTTGAGCAACGCCCTCTATGCCACTTTTGCTACAGCTTCTGCAGATTCGGCACTTCCTTCGGCATTTCGTAACTTTAAAACACCAATTTATGGAGGAGGAGCAAATCTCTTCAAGTAAACTGACATATGGGTACTTTTCCGGGCTGAACTGCACTGGAAGATGTTTCTCCTGGAATACTAAGGTCCTATCCGCAGAATTTACGCAGACTTCAAAGAACTATACCCCTGAGCGCAAATCAGTTGATTTCAAAGTGTTTACACGTGCCGCCAAAATAAATAATGGAGTTTTATTTAGCCTGTGTGTGGTCAATCAAGATGCAAGTAATACGTTGGAGGGTTGGCTGTCTTAGAGAGAACACACTAGCGGAATTTGAGAAATCGACGTGCATTTAATATGCCTTGGCAAGGTGAGTGAAACTAAATGAGCTCATTAACAACAAAAATGCTGACGTGGGAAGAAAAATAATTTATCTTGATACTTGTTAGGAGGCACGTTTTAAGTGGCTGAATTAATAAATCTATGTAAAGGTATGCTGATAATATAATTTGTTGAAGGAATAAATACGCATGGTGAATAATGCCACTTTGCTTTCAAATCCGTTTATTCAATCAATTCTGCTAATATCTTTAATACTGTTAGCCTATATGAAAGTTCTAAGCCCTGATAATGCAATCAAAGTTGGGTTTAAAAAGTACCGCCGAGTGCTCTGTAAGGTACGCATGGTTATTTGCATCTTTTAAGCGAAGGTGCAAGCCTCGTATTAGAGCGGACGCCATCTGCCTTCGAAGAGGAAACACTCTGAACACACCTAACTCGTTTCATCTGTACCACTTTAATAATCGTTACCCAGTAAGATATGCCCTAGGTCAATTCGCCTGCTCGTCCTTGGGTCATTAGGACAGAGTTAGAGAAGAGAAATGCTGAGCCTAATAGAGTATCTCCCTACTATATCTAAACTCCGATTGCAGTATGCAATATAGAGAGATTCAATCATTTTCCGAAAAAAATAGAGTAAAATTCGAGTTGAATCATCAAAATTGAAGAGCCTGGGGCACATACTATTGTTGTGATCAGAATAACAGTGTCTACAGTAATTCGATTAGCAATTCGTAAATTAGTTGTGAAGGCAAAAGCTTGAACATTCAAGGCGCTAACAAAGGATATGATAAGGTATCTATTAATTGTTAATTTGCAGCGATCTTCAGGTTTTCTGCAAACAAATACATTGATTTCTTGCATTTCATAAAAAAAACTAAAAACTCGCAATTTTTCCAGTGTCTATATTTTGAAGTTCATATAGCCAACTGGCACATTTCACCAGGTTATAATTCTTAAAAAAACAGGTTGATGGTTATCTATATTTGGAAAAAAACAAATAGTCACTGAAGATTCGTTCTAATGAATTTATGGTGAAAGAATCGGCAACTGTATATCATGTGGCCGAGTGAGAATGAACATAGGCGGGTTTAGGCCTTTGTGCCTTACGCACAGTACTCGTGTCTATCGACGTTGTTTGTGTATTGTCATTTGTATGTATTCTGTCTGCGTACACCTATCTAAAATGTTCTCTAGCACCTAAATTCTTCATTTTATTATATTTTAGATGTCTAGATCTCCTAAGTCACTCCCGTTTGCCAACTGATATGACTTCGGCTGTCAGCACTATGTCGGCTTTCCAGTCGCCCACGGAGGTGAAAGCATGCCCCCAGTTTGAAGGACCTAACGCCTCAGATCTTGAACAGTCTCAATCCTCTAACAACTTCCTCCAGCCTTGCCAATCACCTCCCTTCAATCCCCTTGTTTATCTTTCCTATGTCTCACCTTCTACCTCTAATGCCCAACCTGTAACAATTAATGCCCAGCAGACATTTACTTCCACATCCGTCAGTCAGAACAATCAGTCCAAGTCATTAGCATCATTTACGTAAGCGTTTTGTGCGGCGGGTTGCACTTGTAAAGCTGCGCTTGTTTTGACCCTTAAGATCTGTTCATATGTTACAGCAATGTGCGCAAACCGTCTGCCGTTCCCTACTAATTTCGTTCTAGTTAAGTTAGGGTGTGTTCTAGTTGAGTATTTCTGAGGAGCACCCTGAAGAAGGACTGTAATTCATTAACTGCTGCTGATTAATCGACTAAATATTACTGCCATTTTTTAGTGCTTTTATATCATTCAACCTTTGGGATGATATGTGACTAAGTGGTTTGGCATTGCAACAAGGAACCTTTGGTTTATTCCCTGATGACAAATCTATAATGTACAACTTAAGATGTAAACTGCTTGATGTTCCAAACTGCTGCGTACTTCGGCCAGTGTTGCTCCTTTACATTGTAGTTGTGGAATCTGTGGTAAGGAATTCGGATTGCGATGTCGTTTGGTCGCCCATATCAGAAGACACACCGGCGAACGGCCCTTCTCTTGCACTGAGTGCGGACGTGCGTTTTCCGATGCTGGCAATCTCCAAAGGCATCGCTACGTTCACAGTTCAGAGCCTCGGTTCCATTGCACCGTCTGTGGCAAGTCCTTCAGACAGGTTCGTCCTACTCATTCCTTCTCAGTAGCGCGCACAAGTGCCTCGGGCATGTGTGCTTTTGTCGCACATTTCTCCTCCCTCACAGGCTTCCTGTTTGTCCACCCACCGGCGATTCCACTGCCCAGGAGCTGAGGGCCGAGTTTGCGTTTTCTGTCGACGTAATTTCAAGTCCTCCGCATCCCTACAAATGCATTTGCGATTTAAACACCGTGCTGATGCTGAAGCTGTGGTTGCTGTTGCAGTGGGATCTATCACCTCGGAGACCGTGAATTCTTCTGGAAAGGGGGTTAAAGATGAGTTTTCACTGTTTCATTCAAATTTACGAAATGACTTCTATTACGCGTTTTCGTGTCGGAACGTCTTCGGTGGTTACGCTATGCTGTTTTCCTATTCTCGATCGGCCAGGAGCTTCTAAAATGTCATTTCGCGCTGCGATTGGGTATTTAGTTGTCGGAAACGGCGAACTTTCTGAAACGAAGAGACTTAGGACGACATGTATTTTGAAGTTCCCTTTTCAAGCGAACATTTTTGTTTAGGTTTTTGATTTCTTGTACCTTCATCTGACTGCTTTTAATGAGACGACAACGACGTTTTCCAAGTGTTGCAAAACATCTTATGGGATGCCATTCATCTTTGGTTTTATGCCTTATTAGTAACATAGATTTCAAGACTGAAAATATATTCCCACACATTCAAAACGAAGCCTGCCTAGGTAGAGCTGTGTCTCCATTTCTAGACTCTCAGCAGCGGCAGGCATTGTTACTGCCAACGTCGTCGGAGGCTGAGCAGCTCTCCAGCGAGAATCGGCAGCAGACGACGTGCAGCAGCATGCAGGATACAGAATCCTGTTACCATGGCGTGGCAGTGGCAGCGGCCGCAGCCTTTCGCCGAAACTTCGTCCATGTTGACTCACCCACCAGCACCACTAACGCCTCTATTGGTGCTCCTACCTCCGCCGTTCCCCGACCGCCTGATCGATGGCGTAGAGCACACGTCCGGAAGCAGGTGAAAGTAGAAGTGAGTTATGCAACTTGTGAATCACCACAAGGTTTGTTCGTCTCCCACATTAGTCTTTTGTGCTTTTAGTCCTTGATACTGGCCGGTGATTTAATGTCTGCACATCCCTTTCTATTATTTCTACCTATATGCCTCAACAGCGATCTGACGCGCCTCCACCTCTACTGAACTACTTTGAATATCCTCCTTGCATCATCCGAGTTATTCCTGAGAAAGCGTTGTATTTATGTAACTATCAATGGTAATGTCGGCCGAGTTGGAAAGCTAGGAGTGCGGTACGGTATGAATGTCTTCGAAATAGTGTGCGTAAGTGAAAGTGTATGCGTTAGGGTCATCGTGGATCGCGTGGGATTTTTTATGCATCGTGCTCATCGTGTAGCTTCTGTCTTTCTCTTGTACTCAGCACCTCGATGTGTTATAAAGGGGAAAAGTTTTCCTAGGCATGTTCAAAAATCTGGAAAATAAGACTTGTTTGCAGTCATTCGGATAGTGGTGAATTATTTGGTTCTCTTTGACCACTCCTGCTACTTCTAGATCCAATTACTGCTGAAGATCCGATTTTAGTTTTTTGCCATCATATGCGGTCCACACGCACACGAAGCGTTGCAAAAACACGCTGAATCCGCATCTGTGTTCCTTAAAATTGTTGTTATTAATGTTTGTGGGTTATGTGCGTAAGCCGCCTTGACTAATTCAATGCGATTTTGGATCAATGGCTCCTTCCTTCCGCTACACTAAATAAGCATGAGGTATTGGCGTTTCTAGTGGCGGACTTTGGGTAGAATATTTTGAACTGATTTTTTTTGTACTGTGAAATGGAGCATGTTTATGGTATCCCATAGTATGTCTCGAAATTTATCATTTTCTACAAAAAATTTGCTGTTGTTATGCGTAAACTAGTGTATCAGTGGCTTAGTTCTTAATATCCGCTCACAACTTCCCACTCTCTTTATTCAAAGTTTCCAAAGCATGGGTAGTTTCGTGGACGATTTTACAAATACTGTTGTTTGAAGGGAATATTTTTTACGTCATTTACTGACTGGGTCTTTAGCCGAAATTTGAAAGCTTCGGTAGCTTTTGATTTCTTGTCTTCCTCTCCCCTACCGCTCCATTGGTCTTGCGTATTAGTCTCGTGGATGCTATTGCATATGACTAAATCTCATTGCTCTCTGCTTCGTCAGGATTTAATAGACCTATGAGTTATTACCATTTCATTCGTAAATTTTTGGTCTGGAAGGGTAATTGTTATGTTGGTAGGGTTCATTCCTCACGTTTTTTTCTTTTGCTTCTATTGCACTTTCCTGGTGCCAAAATTTGGTTTCCAGAAGGATTTGGAACAGACCAACCAAAGCTGTTAACTTCATTCCTGTCATATTATATACACTTGGTATTTTAGGAAAGTGCAATCCCCACTCTGGAAGGCATCACGACCGACCAGCTGAAGTTGGTTGCAGCTGCGGTAGCAGTGGGTGGGAGCTGCGGCAACGGTGTATCCCCAGGCTCAGCTTTAGATGCGAAAGGCCGCGCTTTCAATTTCCCCTGTCCCGCTTGTCCCCGCCGCTTCGTCTTCCAGTGCCGCCTGGCGGCGCATCTTCGCTCCCACACCAACTTCCGTCCCTTCACCTGTCCCGACTGTGGTCGCGCTTTCACACAACGCGGGTATCTCGTGCGCCACGCCGCGGTGCATGCCAATGAACGGCCCTTTGTCTGTGCCCTTTGCGATCGTGCCTACAAGCACTACGGCTCGCTGGTGAATCACCGACGCACTCATTCCAAGAGTTCTGGCGCTGGCACATCCACTACCTCCAACAAATCGCACTCGCGTTTGGTAAACGACTTTTCCTTTTCTTTTTGATCATACACAGGGAATTCCTTTTGGTAAAACTATGCACTGAGTCACTGCGGTACTTGAGTTACCTTGAAAAGTCATAAGGCCTCTGGGTCTAAAGTAGCTTAAATCGCGTAGAGGAGCTGAGGAACTGTTAGCATTGTAGAGGCTGAGTTGCAAGGGACTAATAACACAAAATATTATTAAAATGATCTTAACAAATCATAAAATGGTTTTTTGCTAGGCTGTTCCTAGTAGAAAGTCAGATTGGCTCATTTCAAGTCATTAGGAAGAGTGGACGGAACTGTTCAATGTGTCCTGTATTTAAAATACGAGCATTGTGATTCTGTGTCGCCTTAATCTCTTGATGTGATGGAAGTAGGTATACGTTAATATGTCTCGTTTGTAGTTGTTTTACGCGTGAGGCGTCCAAAACCGACCTCGTTATAAGCACGTAAAAGGGTAACTCAGCTAGTAATATGATTATAATGGGTACTTTCCCATGCTGCCGTAGCGAAGGTTGAATTCCGAGAGACTGAAATAGCTTGGGTAGCATAGCATAGTTATTACTTTTATTTTGAACGTCTCCCTTGGTGGTCCTAGTGGTTGCTCTACTGTGCTAGCTGTTATGCCAGTAGCTGGGCGACTTCTAACCACACTAAGGTGACATGAGGAATCTGCCTCACTTCAAGGTTTCTCATTCCCTCATTGGTGGCGGCGTATCTCAAATCTAGCTAAGGTTTCTAGTCGTCAATTCCTCTGTTGGGTGAACCGTGTTGGGAAGGACGCATTCGAAAAGCACAGCGAATGTCTAGCAAATGTTCTGCAGCGAGTACATTCCAGGTGACAACTGTTTTTTACAGCAATACCTACCTCAAGGCAAAACTATGCTATTATATAGTAAAAATTGGTGAACTCGTGTAGTGATACCCACAAATATCGCGAACCGCGTTCTTGAAGTGTGCGTCTATTTACCTTTTACTGCATTCAGTCATAAAATGAACTTATTCCCTTAATATTTTACTAGTACTGTCGCATCCCCTAAAGTAGAAGCTTTGGGAATAACTTGGTCCTTCTTTTTTCTGGGCTTTGCCATTACATTACAGCGATTTTGCGTTACGATGCGAATATACCTGTTAGCTTGGCTAAGGTTTGCTTTGGGTGGTAGGCTATAATTTGCTTTGATTTGGTAGTCTACTTGGACTCCAGTAATGTGATATCTTTACACTGGCTGGCGATACTGCCAATTTATGGCTGTGATCTGAATTGCGTCTGTCAAGATAACCCTGCCGGTTCCTAAAATGTTTGTTATCTGGCTACTCCGATCTGTTTTTTAGGTTCAGTCGATCATCCTCATCGTTGTATCTTATCTGACAACCGCGCAGCCGTATGATTAAGTATTTGAGAGCATTCTTAGGCACAACTCTCAATGCTAAATAACATGATCATGATAGGTGCTCGAATGTTTTTAAGATGTAGCGGCACACATTGGCACTGCTCCGTACATAAAATCACACTGAGAGCAAACAGTACAATGCATGTTAAATCTGTGGTGAGATTTACATTGCTGTTTTAAAACCTGATTTCTTGTCACTTTACTCACGCTTTGTCAGTGTATGTAGTTGTTTCACCTAGCCTTTCCACTTGACAATCGCGACTGCATTGCCTATGGTACTGAAAAAACAAGTAACGTGTGAACTTCGTTTGCAAAAGAATATATATGCGCAAGTTTCAGCTTTGCTCTATGGTTGTCCTCTCACGTGATTGCAATCCCTGGCTATTGTCTCCATCGCCACCTTAGTGCTAGTTCTACCATAATTTTTCGCCTGATGTAGGGCGTGAGTGCATCCGGTTCCTCGGGGTACCGGTGCGTACCCACAATGGCGCCCCCCGCTGCGCCGGTGCTGCCCATGTGGGCCTCGGCAGCCGCCTCAGCGGGAATTTCCTTCACCACATCTGCATCCACCTGTCATCCGTCCGTCATGGCCCAGCAACAACAGCACCAATCGATATTCTTTCGTGCCCCCTTTGGCTACCTCTCTACGCCACAGAGATGAAATGTTGATATTCTTCGCTTTATCAGCTCACTATGCACTTGCCTTCTTCTGTTCTTTTTCCCCTTGCTTACTTCACCCTGTTATCTCCGTCCAGCCTTGGCTGTATGTACTCGCAGGATGTTGCTGTATATGCTTGAGTAGGTGCGAGTGAGCTCGTCGCCCGTCACTGTACTCGCTGGCTTCTGGCCTGCATTTGGAGGATTAAGTTTGGCAAGCTGGATTCTGCCGCCCGGTCGCGTGTACTTCTGCAAATGCCGCTTACATAATACGGTTGGGTCGGTGAGAGTGGGGCTTTTTACAGCAAAGTGAGGCGGCCTAGAAGATGGAGGAAGACAATACTCGGGTGGAATGTGTTCGGCGTAGTGTTGAACTCGACTACTAACGTGGCCCAGGGGCTTTGGCACAGCGGAGTAGAATGGCCGGGATGAAAAGCGGCTGCCGAAACAGGGGGCTAGGTCGCCAGTGTACTACACTTAATAGCGAGATTCTGTTACCGTTATGGGCTGGTATTTGTAAGCGTAACCCTAAAACCTGAAGAGTTCCAAACGCAAGTAACCAAAACACACAATGTTTTGTAGGATTGCGACTACCCTAAGCGATCCCTTTGTTGAAAATAACTTTACCGATAACGACTTGATTATAGTCAAAATATTGGAATTACACCAGCAAAGACCGCTTTTTAGCCATTTGTTATAGGCTGAAATATTAGTGGATAAAAAAGCTGAGAGTCAAACAACCCAAGTTTTATACCAGTTGCAAGGAACAAATTGGAATAAATGTATTTCGTTATTGAGTGCAGCATTCATAAATGTGACCCCAAAGGGCTCACTTTCAGTGGCATGTAAACAATTTTGTACAAATGATCTTATGTATTATGATAAAAATAATGTAGTAATCAGCATGAAACCAAAACAACCTTGAGAACTTTCGAATAATATCGGTTGACAGCTGACCCGTTCGGTCACTTTCTTTTTGCCGTATGGACTATTTATTGGCATTTGCCGCTCATGAATTCGTGAATTTTCGGGAGCTAGAAGTTCGCTCACTGCTTACAATAAGTGGAATGAGTCAAGAGTGTATTCCTGAGGATACTAACTGGAGTAATCCGTATGTTAAAATAAAACTTCCCAGTGACGAAATTGCCGCAAAGTTCATCGAACGCAGTATGTTGGTTAAGTTTATCTACTCAGTTTGGGCCACGGCGTCTACCTTTGATGAGCTCCTCTTGAAGGTTTGAATATTGTCATCTAGCTTTACAACTTAGGTTCCAGAAATACCTTTGCCACTTATCAATGGTTATTTATACGGCGATCAATCATACAAAGTCATTGTCAGCTCCGTGAATAAACGTATTCCTTTGGAAGATCGTTTGCCTTATATTAAAAGGTTACTTGACGCTCATGTCGGTTCTTCTGCTCCGGTATCACTCAATAACCCGGACGTATGTTGTTGCAATATTTGTCACCCCCTCTATTCCATATTAGCACCAGTTGCACATTATTTTCGAATTCACCAAGGCCAAAACTCATCAAAAAGATCAGTTGCTGTTACGAGTCTATTACGGCCGCGAGGTAGGGGAGAGTTCGCGAAGACGCATCCTGAATGAATTCCATCTATCGAAACGCACGTATTTGGGCAACACCACCATGGATGTCTGCCTGGCGGGTATCATTGCCAACGCATGTCTCTGTGGCCCTGGTGACATAGTCTGGGATCCGTTTCTCGGGACCGGTGGTATGGTGCTGGCTGCGTCAGTTTGGGGAGCCTATGGTGCGGGCAACGATATCGACTATGCCCTTGTTCATGGAATCGGGGCTTCACCGAAAGCCGGACAGGTGAATCTTGGTGTTTTTTTCTTGGTACATGCGACTGAGATAAAAATTTCTTTTCTTCGAGCATATCTGTTCATTTAACTATTGCTTCATAAACTCCTCGCTTTCGCAAATACAATTGGGAGGATTTTTACGCGCAGCGTTTTTTGGTAGTATTGCTTCTGTTTTCCACAATGCCGTCTCAGGATAATCATTTTAATTATAGTTTGGTATGACATTTTTCATCCATCAACTAATCTGGTTACCTTTTCGTTCAGTCGTTTTTTATAATTATTGCTGTTTGCCGCTACCAATCTCTTCAGTTATTGCCATCCAATTCGAAAATTTTAGTTTCCATGGATTGTATGTTCATACACTAATGATGTATATTTAGCAAACCGCAAGTCCTCTCCGAAGACGTAGGAAGTTATACCACCATTATCATTACCGTATAGAAGGCACGAGTAGGAATTTATAAAAATATGGCGATCATGGGACTCGCGGGGACTTAAGATCCCGCATGATTAAACGTAAGCGCCAATAAGTGTTGCTTCGCTACGCAGTTTCCTTCTTTTGAGCGTCATTCTCAGTGCCGTCCTTGGTTACCCTCCTTCTTAGGTCACAACGAGTCGCTGCACCTTAGTGAGGATGCTTCCTATTAGTAGTATTACACAGTGGAAATTTGGTCTACATTCATAAATGCTGCGTTATTTGCAGGTTGAACCGTGTTGAGAAAAAAACTGACTTAGTGGACAGTGTTAAAGACGATGATATTCGGCAGCAAGTGCACCAATCATTTTTCATGAGTACTGCTTACAATAAACATGGAGAAAAAGTTTATGTTTCCAGACTGCGATATCGACTGTTCGTTTCAAAAATTTTTTATAAGCCGTTCTTCAGAATTAATGTGGGTACTTCGCTGGCTGATCGGAATAAACATATTTTTGACGTCTATTAATAAATTTACCTCGGCATGAAATAACATGGGAGTGTGGTTTCCCTTGGATCGGTCATGTTAATCCTTATTTCTTAAGGTTTCTTTTCTAGTGGTTTATTCGTTCCAGAATATATCATGACTTTAGATAGGTGTAATAACCCAGTGTCCATAATTCGCTTCAGCTCGGGTACGTAACTGTGCCGTAATTTATGTCTCAGGGCAAACGAAATGCTGATGAGTGCCTTCGCGCCAACTACCGTCAGTACAACCTGCTATCGCGCTATCTGGACGTTCTGGTTGCAGACGCGGCATCCTTGGGTCGTCTGTTGCGCTGCTCGCCTACTGTATCAGGCCTCTTCGATGCCATCGTCACGGACCCGCCTTACGGCGTGCGTGAGCGCACTTGCCGCGTTGCCAGCGAGGCAATTGAGAGGGAGCCCTCCATGCAGACCACGACGTACATTGACGAAATTACCGGCGAGTGCGTCTCTTATTTCCCTTTCTTCCTACTCTCGCTGCTACCGCTGCTTTTACTCTTGCCATCGTTGGGTGATTTTCGGTCTGGTAATCGTTTCGACGTCTTTTCATGAAGACGGTTGTTATTTACTAGGTACATTTGGAGTTTGATCGTTAAATATGTTCCCTGTGCACATGTTGACTACTTCTTTTTGTTTTTAATCGGATGATAAATAAAGAAAACCTCTCGACCCTCCATCCTCTGCCGCCAGTTCGACTGGTTCATGCATAGGAACCCGCCCAGTCATCCAGTCTACTCATTTATTATATTGCAAAAATAGCAACCTCGGGGAAATGCACTGTTAATGCACGGTTACTATGACGTTGTAGTATGTATCCACTTCCATTTTAAACCTTCTATTTGCAATTAGCATACTTTTAGTTCTAATACTGCTTCGAACAAATGATTTTGAGTGCTCTTTCGTTTTTACTTCTTTTGTCATACCTGTTACTTATGCCACAGCTACCTCTATTTTGACATTACTATTTATCGGTGTCCATTAATCAAAATGTTCCTTTGCTGGAATTATATTCGTGGGCTTTTAACTTTGTCTTATGACTCTCATGCTAGTGTAAACGTTACCGGTTCCCCAGTTTAATTTATTGATGATCTCACTACGATTCGGTGTCACAAGGACTTCATTTAAACACAGTAATGTGTAAATACGCATAAAAATAAATCTCCGGGTTCGCTTGGCGAGTCTACTAGATACTTGAGTCTGCCTCCATTTCTTCGTGGTTTAATAATTATTAGCAAAAATCGCTCTAACCGTAAGACATTCTGGTTTGACTATTGGCTTAATCTTGTGTAAATATTATCTGTTTAATCATAATTTTTTTGGGGGAAACTCTATTATCATGCACGACTTGACTATTCCCGAACGCCTCTTCCTGTTGTGGATCCCACCTTTTTGTTCACTTTCACAGAAAACAATTCGCGATGGTACCCGACAAAGACGGACTTGTCCCCGTCCCTCATGATTTGCCTCACTTTCCCCACAAGGTTAGTTTGAGCCCCTACCTCATATTACCTTTTCAGGTATAACTGATCCCTTTTATTGTATTCCATCGAGTAATTGAATGCTCTACACCTGACCCTCCCCGCTACGTCTCTGGCTCAAATTTGAATAAATTTACTAGGATTCCTGCCTTTAAAGAACTCGTAAAAGGCATCGTCGCTCTCGATTTGAGTTAGTGCCTAGGCCTAGATTAGCATCCGTTTTGCTTCAAATGTAGCCTTGCTAACTTTGACGTCTCATTAATATTTAGTTTAAAATTTTGTTTTTGCTGCTACTAAGCTCTCAACCTTTGCTCACTGTACCGGCTGATAAATTAAGAACTTCCTCTTTACTGAAGTGTAAACCTTTAAATTTATATATGTTGTTTTTGTAGGAAAACTATCCGCTGCAGGAAATTTTTGGAGATCTGTTGGAGCTGGCCAGTCTCCTCCTTAAGCCACGAGGTCGGCTGGTCTTCTGGGTGCCCGTGAGCAAAAGCAAATACAGCGGACCTCACTCTCTACCCACCCATCCACGTTTTGAACTCATCAGTGTCTGTGAACAAGTGTGTCTTTTTATCTTCTAACTTACAGCTCACTTTATTGATTATCAGTGATAGAAATATTTTAAAATAGTTTTCTAGTAGGCTCTGAATCGGGGTACCTCACGGTTCCTCCTAGTAATGGAGAAATTGATGCCCGAGGAGGCAGACGTTTGCCCCTTGTCGGAGTCTCCCAATGAAACGATTGATGGTGGAGGAATGACCGAGAGCAGTCGTCGGGGTATACCGTTACACTTGAATGATTTCCGGAGGATACACTTCTTGCCCAAAGCAGATCGATGAAATGAAGCTGTCTCTGTTCCATTCTGTACACTTATACAATGTAGAACAATCTTTGAGTAGTTGTCTTGTCTTATTTTGCCTCATGGAGAGCTTTTACGTGTTGGGAGGATTTTCCGGTACGCAGAAATAAGTTAATCAGTTTTAATACGAATAAACAAGGGATGTATGCATATTTATGATTACTGGCAGGTGAATCCCAACATTTTAAATTTGGTGTTTTCACATAGCTGAAATTGGGATTTTAGTCCCTATTACTTGGTCATTACGTTAGTACTTAAACATGAAAAGTTATACTTCTGTTATCAATGGGGACAGTGATTTGTTAATAATTTCATGGATAGTAATGTAATTTAAAGATGGAAAAGAAAATTTGTTCCATTAATTCTCGAACGAAGGGAACTTGACGAAGAGTGAGCATGGCCACAGTGCTCGACAGTCACGCTGAAAAGTAGGCTGGGAAGTTGTTATAGCGTCCCGAGACTCCCTGAAGACGAAAGAAGACATCACTCGGGCAGAATATACATATTCAGCACAGAGAAGGTGTTTGCGCTGAAGGCCAGCCCACCAAGCGAGGAGAAAGAAGGCTAATTCAAAAGTACAAAAGTGGCGCCTCACTAATACCGAGGGATAAACCATCATTGTATTACATTGTAAATAACAAATAAGCATAAGGAACTGGCACCAAGTACATTTCTAGTGCTTTAATCCACAACGTATTTTGTGTCAGAGCAAAATATATTCTTGAACTACCAATATGAAAGATGACTCGTTAACAAATTGAAAGACGAAGGTATGCCGCATTAATGCCTGTAGTCATGGAGAATGTTAAAAATAAGAAAATTAGTAACTGCGCACGATTTGGTAAGAAAATGATACTGCAGCCGGGTTCATTTGCAGTGTTCATTATACATAACCCTATTTTAAACGAAGGGGTGCCTACCAGAGGAGGGATTTTCTGAGGCTGAAATCGAGGCATTTATCAACAAACTGTCTCTAATGGATTCGAACAACTGGTGTCACTCAAGCGGTGTTGGTGAGCGTGAGGGTCGCATCTTGCTCAATCTCGTTAGACGACGTCATTTTGGGTACTCCTCTTCTTCTTCGTCTTCAGCATTTTGAACTGACTGCATGGGCTTGTACAGGTGATGCATAATGCCACATTGCTTCGATTCTCTTTCAGCCTGGCACACGGAATCGGGCGTTCTGGCGACATCACGGCCATCCAACCGAAAGCTTCGGGCTCGAGTCTCATCAATCGGCTTTCGAATGCACTGCTTTTGGATTGGCTTCGCAGGTCTGGTAATACCATGGCTCACTTTGTCTACCGTTTCCTCGAAAGTGTCCTGTTCATTCTTCTGTACGTGAATGTTGTAGGAGCAGCTATCATGATGGCACATGCACAAATGTGGTTTCACTCTCATTTGATACGAAATTGCGGAAGTTAGTGATTGGTTTGATTTAATTGTCTGCAGATCTCAGTGTCCGAAATTATCACAGTGGCTCCGTCTTCTGAATTTGAGAATTTTTCAAGCATCCAGAAGTGGTCACTGGTAGTTGCACTCATTTACTCTGGTCTCAGATCCGTTTAGGAGTGTCAGTGAGTAACTGTCATTCTCGTTTGTTTATCGTTTGGGGCGTTTATTGCTACTGCTTTGATGCGATGGCAGTAATTAGGTTTAAGAATGATGCTATTGGGAGGAGAATGGAAGACAGGCGCGAGCGCAAGTGAGGAATGAGGCAAGTGAAATCTGGTGTCTGATAACGAAGTGTTTGATAGCCTACTCCCATTTCAAAGTGCATTGGCTATTACTCTGTTTGTGATGGTGAAGTGAGGGTCAACGGGTGGAGGTTTGTCTGTTGAGTAAGAATATTGTTGTAACGTGAAAATCGCGGTACCACGGTTCGGTCACTGTTCAAGAATCCGCATTTCTTACCATTATGCACGTGAATTGAGGAGATGCGGCACCGGAAGGGCGTATTTGCACACGCACCATCCCAAATATGGACTAGCTGATGCATTGTGTTCTTTTGTGTCTCACCTGCTCAGGTGCGCCTAGTACAGAGGCTTGCCTTCTGGTTCCGATGGCAACTGGGATGACCTTGACACTGTGCCTCCTCACCCTGAAACGTCGGCGTGGACCGCAGGCAAAGTATGTAATTTGGCCGCGGATTGACCAGAAGTCCTGTCTGAAGTGCATCACTGCTGCCGGTGAGTTGGTGCCACCTTCCTCTCCTTGCTGTGCCCTGTAACGTCATTCGTTGAATGCGAAACACGATTAGCTGTTGATGGAAGCTGGTTGCTATTCAGTAGAACTACTGCACTGATTGTTTGGTGTAAAGGGGAATGATTATGCAACATAAGCATGGTCTTGTATTGCGCGTGGTTCTGATTATACCAGCCGTAGACATGCAGACTGAAGTCGTGTATGCGTTGCTACCGAGGGCAACCTAGTCAATTATTAGTGCCATGTGAAGACTCTCAGTTACAATATCACGTAAATTCCACTGCTATCATATTTCTGCTTGTTTCAATCCTGCCCAGCAGTTTGTGAGAACTCGTTGTGCTACAGTTGCTCCATTCTTGAAATTTGATGCAATTTGATTTTTCTACGCAAGCCAGCATTTGTCTTGGGTTGCTCCTTCGACATACCTGCACTGGTCACCATCCCGCTGGCTCGGATGGTAGCAAACATGCGGTAGGACTGGTGGCACGATAAATCGTAATCGCAATAAGACGATTTTCGCCTCCAATCGCTTGCATTTCAATGGGATATACATGGCAATAGTGACGGACCTGCTGGGTTTTTAAGGTTGTGCTCATAGTTATTGCGAGGTATGCTCAGCAGTCAGTAGTGATGTGTTGCAATCCACTTTCACTTTTCTGACCTGAAATGAATTGGGGCGGGTTGAAGCAGAACTGCTGCATTGCTTTCTAAAGGCATGATCATTCTGCTTGAGCATGACTATATTCACAACATCATACATTCACCTGTTGAAGTTCCCCGATTAATGCAGTACATGTGGAGATCATTGGGAGTGAGTTACTCCATTCTGGAGCAAGTCGCAGATATGCTTTCCAAGCACTAAACGATGTGGTGGCCATCGATCTCGCCCTCTTCATTTGGCTCGCAAACACAAGGATATTCATGCAGTATGCCTACGCTAATTTTCAAATTACCTCTAGCAATTACGATTCTGCGATGGGTGCTATGTTATTTGGAATTGCAAATTGCATTAGAGCCAAGCTAATCCCAATTTTAGCATTGGCGCTTCATCTAATAGATTTTGGTAACATTGATCGCAGTGTAGATAATTGGCTTTCTAGAGTTTCATATGTGGGACCTCGTCTGGGGTGGTGCTTTGTAAAACATAATTTAAGGGTCTTGGTAGTGCGTTACTTCTCCATACTTCCACTGTTGACGTCTTCGCTTCTTCGTTGGTCCCACTACTCATCGATTCCACTTTCTCATCAAACATGTTCTTTGCCCTCCTTCACAGTGAAATACATAATAGACTGGAGGTGTTGAATAGTAAAAATGACAAAAGAAAGGCGCTCAATTAAACAAAGTTAATTGTACTTATTTCAAAAACATATGAATAAATAGTCAAGCATCAAAAGGTGGACTCTTAATTGAAAGGCAGGATATTGGAGTTTCCAAGATCCATTTGGTAATACTCAAAGGTGTGGTTCTTGAGTAAAATCATCCATAAAGCTCTACATGATCCAGGCATTGAGAAATGCGAAAATGAAAGCACACAGGACAAAATTCCCAAGCTCTACTTCTCCGGTCTAGTGTATATTCAGGTTGATTGAGGTGTGGTGATTCAATGCACCTGATTGAATGGTCTTACGAAACCAACAGTCATGGGCACAAATTAACTTGGCCATCAATACAACTGTGGACATGTCGTACCTAAGTTACCGGGCCTAAAGAAACACCCAGAAAATGGCATCTCATTCAGATCAAGATAACGCAAAACTCCAGTGGCCAAAACACAGCGGCTCTCCCATCACGGAGTGCATAAACAGTGACACCTCGCCTCGGAAGTGAGGGAGTGATCTTTGCTTGCATTTTAATCTGCAGCGAGATGTCAACAAGCCATCAATCTTCAGCAACGCAGGCTGCGCAAACAATCCGTACGGAGAGACGCTACGAGAACACCGCGGCTTGGACTTTGTTCTATCAGCTAAGGATATCCCTTACTGGCGAAGGTAGTCCGCGATTCCACTAGTGCCACGAAGGGGATCTGGGCTGCAAACATAGGCTTGGTTATTCATTACTTCTTGTCAAGTCACGTGCGTAATTCTGCACACGGACCTGCAAAGATTGTCGCTCTCTTAACTGGAGAACTCTCCACACCTATTTCTTCAGCGACTTTACAGATGGACTCGCTCATTCTGTTCCAGCCCATAAGAAATACAACTACGTACATCCGAACTCGTTGCCAACTCTGACGATTATAGAGGAACATTAGGAAACGAATCGCTGGCCGCACGTGAACAGTGGGCGCCACTGAGTGGATTTTACTTCCAGAGCGTAGTCACTAATGGCAGCCTCGATAACCAAGAGTTGACCTTTCGTTAAAATCCATTTCTATTACGCCCTCTTTCTCCCCTTTTGGCGCTAGGATAAGATCATTTCACGACTCCTTCCCAATGTGAAGAAAGCACAGACCAGATGGAGCGCACACAGGCTGTAATCGTGAATGAAGTTGGATAAAACAACAGACAGCCGATGAATGAGAAGGGAGTGTTAAAGGCTACCATTGAGCCATTCAGTGGGGTCTTGATCCTGTGATCGTCGTTGTTGTTGTTGCCGTTGTCGCCGCTGAAAGGAGGAGAGGGCCTTGTCCAGACGAGAAAGGAAGACGTCCACTTCTGTCGGCGTCTGACCCAGAGCTGCCGCAGCGTTCATGTAGGCCTCGCTGGAAGCGGCGCTATGGGAGTTGAAACCCTCCAGCCGCACGCCTGCCACCACCTTCGCCGGCAGACCGCTTCGACGCTCCATTGCCGCTGACACAACCACTCTGTAGTGATTAATAAAATTCAATTATGCTCACTTCCAGTAATATTAGATATTCTCGTAGCACCACTAAACTTCGCCATCAAACTATTCATATTAGTTAGCTCTCTACCGCACTTCTGCATAGCTGCCATAGATATCAAATCTCCTGAAGATGCAGAACGGACAATCTAATTGAACAGATAATTTTGTGCTCATTAAGAGCATCAATAGGTGGAAATTTTGCATAATTTTCACACACACACTTATGCCTTGACATTAAACTAATACCTGAAAAGCAGTTTCAACGTAAACAGATTCAGCGGCATGACTGTACCCTCCTAGATAGTCATGTTAGCCTGACGGCCCCCACGGTCGAGAGCACCGATGATGTACAGAGATACGGCTGACCGTCCACCGAACCTTCAGCCCGTTCACCCGTTTACCTGACAAGCTGGTGAATAATTTCACCCTCATCTTACTATACATGAAGCATCCGACAAATATTCACGAATTTAACGCCTTTGTTCACGAAAATCTTAAATCATCACCAAGTTTAAAGCTATAGTCAATTGGACGTGCCTCGGCTACTAGGAGTAGCAAGCGAACACATTTGACACTAAAGCGTACAGTACCGCCACGTCGGGAGTGGTTCAATAGTTATGAAATCAAGTCACAATTTAACTTGAACGTCCCTGTAAGTATCCAGTTTAGTCGGATAGCTTGAATAACCTAGTGGGTAGAACGATGAATAAGACAGCAGGAAAAGGGCATTGCGGGAGACTGAGTTGGTACTGATCATGAGTTGAAGAATGTCAAAAAGGAGCATTATGCATAACGGAATGAAGGACCCCTTTATCCGAACACTACCTTCGTTAAATTCAATTGACTTACTCTGACAAGGTCATGATAAGTAACAAGTGTAAAGGCACAAAAAATCTATTCAACAGCTGGGAGCATTCGGATGCTTGGAAGAACGCACGAATAGCATGAAGGATGAAAAGCAGCTCTCGAGAGAATCCAAGGTGGAATTGGAAGAACACGTTCAAACAGTCGAGTGACAAGAATCCACACAAGGAGCATCTGCACAAATTAAAATCTCACCGGACACCAGAGCATCCTTGCGTGAACAAATTAGCACCAAGTTGAGTTAGAATGTCGGGGTCGAGACCCGTTGCGTCTGCGTCAACTTCGCCGTCTACGGCATCGCCATCGTCATTGCAGCCGCTGCAGAGAGCGTGGAGGGAGAGGGCGAGAGAGATTGGATTCTCGGGAGTATCCATGAGACGCAAACCGTGCTTGGCCGCTAGAGCACGCAAACCCTCGGAAAGCTGAAGATAGCATGCCTCTCGCTGCGCCAACAGATCCTCCCAGCCAGAACGACCGAGGTGTAGCAGGGTGGCGAACACATCCAAAGACGGTGAGCCTGAGGCACGACCTACCAACAATGGCATTTCGATAATCAATCTGAAGGTTCTATATGAACATTATCAGTAACAGTTATTTGACACATCCAATGTCAACATCACTTAGGCGAGCTGCACCGATTTCCTTGTCTAAGTTGGCAATTAACAAATGTATAACATGTGTCCTTTACCAGTTTATGGTAACGGATAGCTGCACAAAAGGGCTAAATTTAAAATATTAATAATGAAGATGCACTGTCTTCTTACTCGGAAAATAGTTGTGCTTTTTTATTGCTTGAGCTGCAGACTAGCTACTTATTAGTGCAAGTATCAGTGCCGTACTGGGGTTAATAAAGCATATGGAGTGCGGAAGTTTATTTACCTCTAGAATGGCAATAACGACAGGAATAAAGAATAGAGCCATTTTCTTTCAAAAGTGGAACAATTTCCAGGAAGTGATCAAGTGAATTACTTCACATACCCATGCATTTTCTAATTTATGAAATGGAGGCAGTAGAAAAATACAATGGGGACCTGTAGACCATCCGGAAACAAACTTTTACCTAATGATCACTTTAATACAAAAAGGTGTTCCGTTTACCATTTGCCACATGGAAGAATGGTTGTAGAGATGTTTCAAAAGCTACTGGCAGTGACAGTTAATATCAGCGTTTAATCTAATATAAGTTCAATTTTGGAGTGCCGAAGGCTCATTTTACACCTTCAGTTTTGAGTGCTTTCACTGTGTTTGCTGCAAATAGCAAATCGCAGTTAGAAAAGCTAATTTTGAAGTTATTTTAGTTCCAAATCCAGTGCATTCGTGATGGTTTTCCTCTTTTCAAAATCGCATATCTATAAAAGCTAAAAGAGTAGAGGGATCGCGTTGTAGCCAAGTAAAAAATTCTCGAGAAGTAAAACAATAGGAGGATGCCTAATATCCGACGCAACCTAGAGAACACCCTGGATCACTCAGGTGAACTCAACGACAAACTAAAGAATTATCTTAATGAGGAACGTTATCTTCCACAAAAGTAAAATTTCAGGCGCTGAACCGCGAAGACACGACTGGTCACTTCAAAAAGTATAAAAACTCACTTAAGTTATCAGTAATTTAGCCTATAACCTGCAGGTAAGGGAATAATGAAAGGGCCTGCTGCACTTATGCATCTCCACAAGACTTCTTTGGAGGAACTGCCTAGCACATAACAAGTGCCTACGAATTTCGCAAAAAACAATCCCCTATCGCTGAATGGATCGGTTGGTGTAATAGTTATCCACTTGCCATGAAATTAACGCCCACTTTATCTGTTATATATTTCCAAGTGATGCAACAAGTTTTTTGACGAAGCTATCACAGCTGAATATGCAAAATCTGCATGAAATCTTCAAACAAACTAGAAAAAAGTCAATTAAGCCACAAATTTGCATGTAATAGTAGTTAGGGTATAGGTTCTTACCATTAATTACCCTGAACTTTGACGATTAGATAAATGCTTAAAATTGGACCAGTTTCCATGTATTTTTTTCTGCCTGCAAGCTCAATGCAATCTGCAGCAAGACAGATTACAACCTCCATCCAGAATGTGCGAAACTGATTACGCCACCCGTGTTTTGGCATTGTAGCAATACTGCTTACGGACAAGAGAACTTCAGAAAATGCCAGCCTCAGACCAAGTCGATGAGGTTGCAGAATTTTATGTAGAAATTCAGCACAGATAAAGTGCTACTGATGCAAGTAAGAGCTCTCTGGTACACTTTACACTTAAAAGCATTCCAAGACCCACCAGGATAGGATTCAGCAATCTCCTGGAGCAGGCTCTTTGAAAATACAGCAATGACTGCGCCACCCACGGGCACCATGAGGTTCTTATCCGTCGACTGTACGTAGATAAGGTCGAGGGGGGTCAAATCATCCACATTTCCACCACCACCAACATCCCTCTCCTCCCCTTCCGTTTGCTTGCAAACTGCCGGTTGACGAGCTTCAGCCCAGGCAGACTCGATGAGACGCATGCACCGCTTCGACTGTACACCGTAGGCATTGTTCACTAAGTGCGGTACTCCCCACACCTTACAGAGGCGGGTTATTGCCGGCAGCCTAGATGGAGAGGAAAACGGTGAAAACAGATGCAACAAACTGTTTAATTCCAACTGGGATTCAATGGTACGCCTTTAAAAAGGCCTGCAGTCTGTCTTGACAATTTTGTCCTAGTACTGATTTCAATACCCAGTACTACTGTCGTCAACCAGTTCAATCCACACGCGGATGAACATGACAGGGGGCAAGAGTGGTGTAAAGTATGCAAAATGCATGAAGTCTCTCGTGATTGAAGCCTGAAAATCCAAGCCCGTTAAAATCTACAGAGCGCTTCAAGCCGAGAACAGTATGCTAATGGGGTGTTTAGCTATAAAGCATTTGAATGGTGCAAACTTTGAGACGGCCAATCTCACCTCTGTACGTCACTGACAATCCAGCTCATAACTCCAGCAGTTATTTCTATGAGTATTTAGCTACCAAAATCCCATTATCTAGAATAGTAAATATGCTAATCAGCCCAATTGGAGAAAGGGCATGATGCATCTGTTCCCTAACGAAACAACCAACCGCAGGCAAAAATACAATGACATAACTTGGCTGGTCGGTGAACTTTAACGCGACTTATTGGAATAGAACCACATTGCATGACCAATAAGGCTCGTTTAGCCCAACACCCTCGCTGCCAGTACCAAGTCGTATCGCAGAGACGATTTAAGCTGACTATAAACCAACGATTAAACAAATCAACGATAATTTACTACGCAGTGGAGCGACAAAATAACTAAACTGCTGTGGTTGATTTTCCACTGAGAATTTCTGGCACCAAATATGTTAAATCATAAGCGGTGACTTCAAGTTTTATCTCTACTGAGCCATCAACAATGCCGGGTACCACGAAGACCAAAGAAAAAACCAATCAAATAACAGCAAGAGGCAGTAATCACAGGAAACTAAATGAATAAAGGGTGAGACCACCTTAGCCTCGCACATTCTGACAAACCATAAGAACCCACCGATCAGGAACTCGAGGGGCGAAGCAGCTGGTGGTAGAAAGCACGCAAACAATCGACTTTGGTCCCAGGTTTGAGGTCTGGTCTTGCGAAGGTGAAGTCGATACTCCCTCTCTCCTTCTGAGAGCTTCCTCAGGATCGAGCATGGCTGCTCTTATGGCGTCCAAGTCGGAGGAGAGCTGGTCAGCATGCGCTGAATGGCCATCCTCCTCGGCTTTCTTTGGCAAGGCCACATTTCCATTCTTCTTGACTCGCTTTTGCCGACCCATTGTTTGAATTGGCTCAATTGGAACAGGTATAAGACCTGGTGTGTGGGGGAGAAGGAACAAATGTATTACTCATCCACTCCTCCCTTGTATAACAATTTAACTTGGGTGGAATTGGAAAAGGTCAGAAGAAGTGGAATACGAATCCAATCATGCTATCCTGGGGTCTTGAACATATCTTTATAGGCCGTACGTCCGTGTTAGTGGTGTTCCCAGCCTAGAGTTTCAACAGCCGTCCTGTGAATCTACGACCAAAATTTCAAAAGCGCATTTGACGTGCAACCTCCCGTGTGGTGAAAGAGTAAAAGGAAAAACTTTCTATTGGAAGAGAGAACTAAACACAACCATTCAAGAATAAAAAAATATTTGCAGATTTTAAAAAGTAAGAGCAGGCAGGGTACCAAGGGAGTCTTTCACATTTAAAGCTAAAGCTTACATAATACGAAGCAAGTGAAAGAACGTGAGGATATGTACGGCAGCCTAAAGCCGTGTTTTGGCCTTATGTAAGCGAAAAATACAATTTTAAAGTGAAGTACAGATATGGGGATGAATTTCATGTGAATTCATTAGTTATAAAAAAGTGATGCTGGATTACTAATATTA